GGGAAACCCGTGTCCACCATTCCTCTCCCAAATGTGTGCACAGGGGCCGGGAGCCAGCCCTTCCCCCCCCCCAACTTACCTGCAGGAGCTGCTCTCCAGGCTGCCTGGCGGCCACATGCACATACATTCACATGGGGGCCCCCTGCCTGACTGGCCTGTTCTCCTCTCCCCCTGCATACTGGAACTCTGCCCACCTGCAGAGGGCTTGTTGCAAAACTGCAAAATCCATAGGTTTCTCTAGTAAAATGAGAAATCCATGTTTGCCTCTGGTAAAAAGTAAAATCCATAGTTTACTCCGTTTTTCCGTGGGAAACGGAAAACCTGGATCACTGTTGATGACTGCCAAGCTACCAAGCTGGGAAAGGGCTCAGTGCAGTCTCATCTTTCTTTTGAAAGTCTTTGGATGTCTAGAAGTGCAGGTGTGGTGTGTGTGGTGACCTGGGGCAGCTCACAGCCAGAAGAACTGCTGTTCTTTTTTCATTAAGTAAAAACAGGATGTTTCTTGTGCTCTGTAATGGAGCTGGATGGATCAGTTAATTTGTATAGTATGACAGTGTGGGTCAGGTCATTGGAGATCTAATCCAAGACTTCTGCATCTAGAAGTAGGGACCTCTACTTGCAGAGGTAAAAGGTCCTATTTTCAGAGCAAAAATTTTATAAACCTCTGTGTGATCTGGCCGCCAATAATAGACAGGGTCACAGTATGACAGTATACACAGAGCCATAATGAAGGATTTAGGCCTTGCTATGTCAGGTACTGTTCATTTTAATAAAGGTGACCCCTTCATCAAAGACCTTTAGATCATAGGGGCTGATTCAGAAAACAGGTACACATTTGCTGAATTTTGTAATAGGACCGTTGTTTTCAGGGGAATTGCTTGTGTGTATAAAGTTAAGCATATGCTTAACTGTTTTCACAACTGGAGACTTAAGTGTGTAATTGTGTGTTTCAAAACAAGTAGATGCGAAGGAGCACAAGGTAATGGTGAGATGATTGTCTGTGGCTCTTGGCACTGAGTCTACTCCTCCATCGCCAATATGATCCTTCTAGTGCAAGTAACATGCCCCATCCCCAACTGTACGTGTTCCCAGGGGTGCCATGTGTTTGTAGACCATTTCAATTAGATTTGCCTTGACCAAAGCTAACTACCATGTGGGACCTTGTGCTAATTGCTGGTGGTGCAGGGTTGGGGAGATGTCCTCCATTTGTATGAAAGTCCTCCCACTGCTGCCCTACAATGCATCAGTTGCTGCTAGATGTTGACAGTACCATTAGCATCCAAGATCCTTTTGTTTCTGACACTTTCTGCTATGACAGATTCTCTTACCCCTCCAGAACAGCAGTTGAGCTGACAAAGTTCAAAGGCTTTGTGGTGCAATTCTCTAGGAAGGATGTTTTGAAATACCTGCAGATACCAGAGCATTGCAATAAAAAGTGACATCCATGCTCATCTCCTTTACATTGTCATGGCAACTGGAGGTCTTACGTGAAAGCTGTGTATTCAGAATTTAGTGTTTCCTTTAGCTAACAAAATAAACCTGTTCTTGAGGGGGCCTCTGTCAAGGTTGGAAACTGCAGCTTTTCACTCGCTACTTTTTGTAATCTTTTCAAGCAGAACAGCACTTGTAAACAAGAGTGCAGTTAGACTAGTGCCTAGGGCTTTCCTAGGTAGCTTTGCATCAGTGAGCCTGGGCAAGTATGAGACGTGGGTGGGAAATGTTTATTATATTGTCCCGTGCTAATGGCATGGATCTTATTTTTAATAGGGAGGTGGAAGCTGTAGTTTTAGTTATTGGGAATCTGAAATGTTTAGGGAGTGATCCTTTTATATTTTGGTAGCCTAAGGCAAGTGCTATATGGACATGCAACTTTTGCCTTTTAAGGTGGCACTGATCTCCCCTTTACATACAGCATTATATTACTGGCCAGGTGTGTATATCAGGCATTTCACTGAAGTACAAATTATTTGCTACTGTATACTAGATGGAGGATGCTAGATGAGATGGGTCTATTTTTTATGCTATTTCATGTCTCAGTAACTGGCAACATCTGGTAGATAAACATATAATTCTTCATGTTCTTGTTTTGAATGCTGGCTGACTAGGTTCCTGGTAATTTCCACGTATCCACGCACAGTGCCACAGCACAACCTCAGAATCCTGACATGACTCACATCATCCACAAACTCTCTTTTGGGGACAAGTTGCAGGTGAGTGCTTTCCTCTGTCTATATGGGACAGAATTATTTCTGTACTAAACTTCTTGATCCATGTTTAGGGATGGTTGGGGCAGAGAGAGCTTATTTAGCACTCAGGGTTGAGGAGAGGGGCAGGGGTGTGCTAACCTGTTAAGCAGGTGAGGGGAGAAAAGTCTTACCTGCGTGGGCTCTGCACAGGAGAGGCAGCTGCTGCTGCTGCTGCAGAAAGTCATGGCATGGGCTGCCTCTTGGGCCCCTTTTGCTCCCCTTCAACCCAGATTCACGCAACCAAACAATGTGTTTGTCAGAAGCAAACCATCAATCATCCCCTGAGATGCTGTGTAGCACCACAAAGCACCCCACAAGATCTGGCAACACCAGGATTAGTGACCTGTGCAGAATATTGGGAACAGACCATATAGAAAGGTTGGATTGGAGGCATGATGAAGAAGAACCCCAGATATGCTGCTGGGTGCAAGGCTGCGCCTACTATGAGAGAAAATCCCTGGGGAGGAGCACCATTCTACTCAACCCCAAATGCACTGCTGAGTGTGGGGTTGTTCTGCCTGTCTCCTAAAGCTGGGCAATACAGGACTGTCCCAGTCATGAGAAACTACTGGAGGAGATTCTGGCGCTCCTGTATAGTCAGTGTCTGGAGCTGGTGCCCTGCCCGCTGCCCCCCACTCCTGCACCCTACCTTCTCTCCTTCCTCCTGTCTCCAGTTATGCTACTTGGATGGGGAAGGTCAGAGGACCTATAATCTAGGGCAGAGGTCGGCAACATTTTTGAGCCAACTGCCAAAAACCCCCCTGCAACCTGAACTTTGAAAACATTGGTATGCCAGGGGTGGATGGTGGGGGAGTTGCAAGGTTCCTGATCCTGGTCATGGTAGCACAGCTGCAGCCACAGCTCCTTCCCTGCTGTGCTCCCGAAAGCACATATGCAGCTGCTGCCAGCAGCGGGCTGGGCCAGTGCTCTGGACTCTGGTACTGCTGCTTGCAGCCTTATGGCTGTCTGCTGTAAGTAGCTCAGCTCTGGGCAGGACCTTGCCACCTGCCATGGAGCCTGAGCTGTTCGCAGCAGGCAGCTACAAACCTGCAAGCAACTGCACTGGGGCCCGAGGCCCCAGCCCAGCTCGTTGCCAGCAGCAGCTGCACGTGTGCCTTGGGGAACACACCAGGGAAGGGGCTGGGGTTGCAGCGGCCTCCAGTTAGGGAGCTGGGCCAGGGCTCCCTGGTGCAGCTGTTTGCGGTCTCCTAAACAGATGGTGCAGCCCACCATCTGCTGTGAGCATCCCAGACTCCATGGCGGCACCCACTACACATGTGCCTTGGGGCACATGGTGGGGAAGGGGCTGAGGTTGTGCTGCCCCAGGCCTCTTCCTCGCCATGTGCTCAGAGGTCCACATGCAGCCAGGGCTCCAGACCTTAGTGCACCACTTGCAGCCTCCCGGCTGCCTGCCACATCCAGCCTGGGCTCTGGGCAGGTAGAAGAGAGCATCCAGTTTTTAGCTTTGTAGCCCCTCCTCTGGGTTTCTCAAGGAGAAGCGAGTAGTTTTCCCCTTCTCGTAGAATGAACTGGACTAACCCCAAAGCTGTCTTCCCCCTGCTGGCGAGAATGAACATTGGCGCTTGCCTTGTGGCTAGAGTTTCACTGGTGCTGTGTTATATAAGCCCTGGTTTCTCAACTGGAACAGTTCAGAAGAATGCACATCTGTAGCTGCCTTGCGAAGAGGTGCTTCCATAGACCTGTGGTGATACATGTGCACACCAATTTCATAATTCCAAGTGTGGCTAAACCAGAGTCTCCCTTCATTGTCACAGACATTACTGTCCTGTGCCCTACTTCATGTATGCCTACTCTGAAACACCTTTTTAATGTTAACAAGTCCAAAAACAATTGCTTTGTAGTCTTCTGGTTCTTCTCCCGACTTCCTTGAGGAAACAACTTGTGTGGGAGCATTTAAATATTAGCATATGAATGAGTCTGTTTAATGTCTGTAAAACATGTTTAAGATTCTGAAAAATGTTATGTAAGTGCTAACAGTCACTGCTCGTGCCTGTGTGGGAAATGAGTCCCACAGGGTAAGGTTCCTGTCACCAGATTCCACAGTCTTTTGAGTGCCGTAACTGAAGAGCTTGTCAGCCTGATGGAGTTGGGCAGACAAGGATCTCTGAACATGGAGTGGAATACAAGCAAGATGTCCGATCGCAGATGTTTCCTGTGCTGGTGAAAACCTGTTTAGCCTACCACGTTGACGTGCACCACGTTGATAGGTGGTATTCAGTTACTTCCATTGCTTTCATGTGTTGTGTATAAATGTCACTTGGTTCAGCAGGCAAAACGCAAGCTAAAAAGCATGTGATGTAGGTGATGTAAACTCATCTGCTGCTAGCTAGACTAAGCCAGCTTTGGTTAGGAGCCACTGAATCAATGTATGGGTTTCTTTGGAGATGATCCTGATATAGGTGAACTTTTCTGTTGATTGTTTGATTTTATTTATTAATTTCTTTTTCTTTTGGTTTCACTGCCCTTGATCTCAATATGTATCCAACCCTCAGAAAAGGATTGTGTGCTGAAAGGCTTTGTTATGCAAACTCTTACCCCCACAAACCTACTAGCATATCCCAGTGGGCAGCCCACCACTACCTTCTAGCAGAACACCAGGAGAATATTTATCCCCTCTCTCCCAATGGTGATAGATCACTGGAGTTGGGTGGTTCTGCCTCAGTCTTCAAGAAGTCTTGTATCCAAAGTACAGAGGTAACAATGCAAAGGCTCGTTCCCTTCCATATACTGGATGGAAGTATTTTTTCTGGCTATAAAAGGAGAGTGGAATTCGGAAGATCAGGATCACTGTTTTTGTTCTTCCAGCTTCCATGAGCTTGGATTCCTCTCTGCAGGGCTCCAGCGTTCAGAGCAGCATTCCCTCTAAGCTGTGCAGGCGTGCTCATGCCGTGCTGCCAGGCGCGCCTGAGCAGCTGCTCATGCTATGCAGCTTAGAGGGAACGAACGCTGGTTCAGAGTACTTGGTTAGGTGATGTGCATTTGGCCTCTACTTGATTTTTACGGTAGGGAAAAGGGGAAGCTGTTAGAAGGGGAGCTGGCAGTGGTTTCTTTCAAGTGCCACCCATTGTGGCATTACAAGGAGCCATCACTCACAGTAAATTGTTAATTTCTGCAGCCATCCCACTTCCATTCTTGCATAAGGAATGAAATAATTAATAGTGCTGGCATTTTAAATGATCTTGCCTGGGCAGCAGCTCAAATAGAGATTCAGCAACCCATGTTCATAAATGCTTCAGCTAAATCAGCTGAAAAGGAAGCCTCGCTGAAATAATGGTTTAAAGATTAGGTTGGTTGAGACTTGTTCAAGTTTCAGTTCTGACTGGCTTTGATTCTGGTTCAGTCTGATCTTAGAATATTTTGTAGATGTTCCTGACGTAGAACCAAAGCGCCAAGGTGAATATGAAAGGTGTTAGGCTGCTCTCTAAGGACCAGATCAACGAAGGCAGAAAAACATACGCAATTTTTTTTCCCCCTAGAGTCTCTGTGGAGTCACTGATCTTGCTCTGCTTTTTGCTTTTCCATTTTAAACTGAACCTGTGGCCCTGCCAACACCTCAGGAAAGGGTGGGTGTATGTGGAGTTATATAATGAACAGACACTCCCCTGAAATGAACGTTTGCATAAGCTAGTTCCTTCTGAACTGGTTTGGAAGTATAGCAGCTGCCCTTAAATATTCTGACCCAAGCTAGTACACACCTACCCTCCTGTGACTGCTAATCATGCATTCAGATGTCTCCTTTTTACACCTCCTTGTGACATGACAATGCCAGCAGAATGCCTAGTTTTCATATTGCAGCAATGGGGCCTGAAGACACAGATTGCTTGCCTGTGGTGCAACCACTAGTTCATGTAAATTGAGCATGTGTTCTCCCCCACTGACACATGCCCTCTTTAAATTATGCGGTATGCAGTCTGCTTGAGAGGTCACCTTTATTAAGCAAACTTTGGTCCTGATACTTCTTCAAAATATCCCCTTACATAAGGATCACAATTTGTTCAACCATTAAGGGTATGTCTTCAATGTGAACCCAAAGCTGGCAAACTGCCCTTTCTCAATTCACACTGCTTTATCTAACACACACCGGGCTCTGGTTACCTGTGTCCACACCGTGATTACTGCTCCTGCTTCTGCACCATGCTTACTGCTTACTGCTCTGTGCATAGGCTCCTGGTCAGGATGGCCCTTCATATTTCAAAGTGCCTGCCAAGGAAAGCAGAGCAACTGTTTGGTATTTTGTTAGAAATGTAAAGAATGAATTTCCCTTGCATTACTATTTAATGATGAGGCCACAATTTACAATTTTTATTATTTTGGAATACCACCCTTTCTCATTTGTGCATCTGACCAAATGGATGTAGCAGGTGAAAAACTAACAAGATGACAGCTGAACCCAGAATGGTGAAATCTGTTTTTCTTCTTTTAAAAAGAATATAATTTTGAATGCCTTAGTAACTCTAAGGGATATTGGAATGCCTAGTATGGCACGACTCTTATTAGACTGGGCCCCCTGACTTTTTTTTCCAGAAAGCCATGAAGGAGACAAAATGTGGGAGTCTCAGAATGGAAAAGGAAAGGCAGCATTCTAGGGCACTGAAGGGGTTGGTTCCTTCAGTTTATACAAAAGAGATTAAGAGCCCAGTGAAAGCAAAGTATAAGGAAATGTTATGGGGCTTATCAGTTACAGGGATGGACCAACAAAGTTTGCTTGCCCAGCTAATCTGACTGTCCAGAATTCCTACTCCATGTCACATTTCCAAGCATCATGGAAAGAGGAGGACTCTGGAAGAGCACAGGTGATCCACAGGTCCTTTTTTTTCCCCCCTTCCCCACAATCACCGCAGGAGAAGGAGAACAAAAACACAAATGATTTAGAATTTGCCATTAAGGGATTCAGTGACTTGTCTCCATGGAAGCTGCTAGAAAACAGTGGCTGTTTTGCTTGCAGGGTGACTTTCCTGGAAGAGATGCACAAAGACGGAAGTTACTTATTGTGACCTTTAATGCTGTGAAATATCCACTGAAGCAACCATGTAGCTGTTGTTGTCCGAGGTCCATTTTTTAATAAGCTTTCTAAAATTGTAATCCTGGAACACTGTGCTGTTACAAATCATAATGAAGCATTGGAGGGGGGTGTGAAATCTTTGATCTTGTGTATCAGTTTCTAAGGTGTGTGTGTCCAACTCAGTGTAGTTAGAATTGGTAAGCCACAGCTATGAAGATTTCATACTTGGCTTGCGTATTTGTTTTATCCCCTCCCGAGAGCTGTCTTGGAATGCATGGTGCTGGGGGTACTAGGGAGGAAGGAGGCAGAGCAAGCTGTTGCATAAACCCTTTACATATTTTTCCATCATTCAGTAAAACAGATGGTGCCCAGGAGACCCAAATTCCTTTCTGATTTGTGAATTCACTGGCCATCTTCCAAGAAACCCCTCCTCATTAACAAAGAAAGTTACCACCAAACAACAACAAGCATGTCAGGCAGTGCTTACTATCCTAAGGTTCTAGTGACTTTGCTTCCACTTCTGTGGGTTTATACCTGAAAAGGTCCCCAGAGATTTTGTCTGGGATACTTGGTGGGACAGCTTTCTGAACAAGCTGCTGCATATTCATTGCGAGCCAAGGTGCCATGATCACAATTACACCCTCTGTGCCTGATTTCACCCTGCCTTGTTTTCCCTCTTAAATGCCATCTTCTATAGAATGGGCAGAGTGGGTTCAGTATTTGGAGTACTGGCAAATATAGCCCATCAAGCTCCACGTAGCCCAGGCACAAAATGTGGGCATGACCTGGTTAGCATCTTTTGCCCTTCAGTTCTGCTGCCCGAAGTACCAAATTTGATCTTGGCACTGCAACCCTGTCCTGTGAATGACCTATTGCGTGTGTTGGCTTCAGATTCCATTGTAAGGGCAAACATGTCTGCTACCAGGGCCCAAACTGTATTGCTGCTTTCCAGATATTTGTCAAGGTAGGACAAATTCTACAGCATTAACAGCATACACTCCTGGCATGGTACCTCTATGTTGGGAGTATGTCCTCAGCTTGATAGAGTAGAGGTTGGCCAACAGTCTGAAGCTAGCAGGTGTTAGGCTGTTGGTCCACAAGGAGATAACAGGTTAGCATGCCAAACAAGTCATTATACAGCACCATGTAGCTTTGTGGAGTAGAGGAAGAGGTGTGCACAAGATCTGGCACGCTCAAAAACAGGGAATTGTAGAAATGTCAGTGGAAGGCTGCTTCTGTTCAAGCCCTGTAACTTGCAGCTATACTGTAGACTGGTTTTGCAGTGAGGTGAATAGCTGGCAGGCTCAGGTGCTAGTCATCCTGACAAATGGTAAAGGGGTAGCGTGGTAGAAAGCCTTGTTATGCTTTTATTTGCCACGCGCATATTACTTGCTCAAGAAATAACAAAGTTGTCTTGCTAGAATAGTCTTTCCTGGAACATAACAAAAGGGAACTGATTACCTTATCTCACCAGCAAGCCATTTTCCTTGTAAACATTGATCAAGGAAACACCTGTTAGGTTCTGGTAGGTGTTTCCCAGCTAACAGCTTTTGAGAGAGGTGTGTGGTTGTTGAAATTAGCGGAGAATGCAACCCATCCCCAGTCTAGACAAAACTCTTCTCTGCCTGGCTTTAAATGTTCAAGAATATCCTAGCTGGGGGAGTTGTTCATCCTTTCTCCTTCCCCTGTCTGCTGCTGTGAGTTCCCTGTATGGCTTTCCTGATCTTGATGTTTCCTGACTTGATTGTTTTACTGGTGGCCGTTGATGCTTGCTGTTCTTGGCCATTGCTTTTATTTAGATGCTCCTGCACAGGAACAAGGAGTAATCCAGTTGATTAAAGATGGGTGGGGTGGGTAAAGAGTGTCTAATTTTTTCATGCCTGCATCCAGCTGTTAAAGAATGGGTGGGATAGCTGGTATTTCTCCCTCCCGTCTCTCAGGGCATATCATACAGGGTGGTAAGGATAGACCCTAATGAGTTAATGCTGTAGAAACCAGACCGCTTTAAATGAACCTGCAACAGAGCTCTGGGTTCTACCTGGAATTCAAAACTTCAAAGCATGTTTTCCAGCTGCTTTCAGTTTTTGATTGCATGTGATGGAAGAAATGTGTTTATCCTCCAGTGAGAAACTTTTCCAATTCTAGTGTGATGTCATCAACCACCAACCCAGCTTGGTGCATGATGTCACAGTTTGGGATGGATAGTCACCTCAGAACTTCACACTGACTTGTTTCTTAATCAGAGCTCCCCTGGATGAAGCCATTTAGTATGAATTATAATGGTAGATCCTTGGAGTTTGATCTTACAACCTCATTAGCTGGTGCCCATCTTTCTGGGTAATGATTACCAAGAGAGTAATTTGGGACCTTTCCTATTGGGCTAAAGCTTTGCCTTTGGGAGAACTGGGTCAGGCTGGATTCTTCATTAAAAGGAAAAGTGGGAAATTAAAAGCCAAGAGTCCTGTATTAAAGGTTAGTCACTAAATGTGCCTCCTTGCTCTCCAGGTCCAGAACATTCATGGAGCTTTCAATGCCCTGGAGGGGGCTGACAAAATCAGCTCAAATCGTACGTATCATCAGCTCTTTCAGGACTTATCTATCCTCTTGTGTGGTCTACATTTGGTCTTTTCCCACCAGGGTTATTAATAGAATGCTAATGGGAGTGGGGTGCAAATAAGTATCCTTTTA